CTTAGTGTAATTGAATTTATCAGTCTTCATCTATTTTTTATTTATATTTCTTAACTTTCAAATACCTCAATTTTTCGGCCATTTGAGGGGGTTTAATGTTCAACTATCTAATAGTAAAATTAATATTATAACATGTGCTATCCTCTATAAACGCACACACACATACACACACATATATTTATATATAAATTTAATGTAATTAAAATAAGATTTGATTATGAGCATTAGTTGTTATCGTGCAGTTGGTGAAATTAAGTGAACCGATTTTTGTATTGTTAATGTTAGAAACCTTGACAAGGTGAGAAAGTCTTAGTTTGAGGTTGAAATAGGCTGCTCTTCTCATATCAAATGGTTGTCCTCCTCAGGACTAAACTGCCATTTAAGGGCGAATTTATTAAAGGATATCCACTATTAATAATAGTAATATCCATAGTATGTATTTTTTATATATGTAATATCAGTAACATTGTTATATCATATGTAATGCTTATTCATTTATTTTACTTTGAAAATAAATAATAATAATAAGGTTTGATTCACGTACCATATGATTAAAATAAATCGAATCGAGTTTGCTAATGCAGACAGCCTCACAAATGTGAGGAAAGGAGTTTAGTTTACAATGATACGTGAGTAATTCATTCGAAGGACTCATTCTCCTTGTTATTTCGACCTCAACCGTACTGGCTCCAGTTTTGAAGTGGAGGAATACCTTATAGATGCCTTTTTTTACACAGAATGCAGTTGGAATGGGAAGATACATCTCTATTCATTGTAAGACATTCGAACACTGTTCCTTTTTTTTTCATGGATGTATTTATTATATAATGAATCTGTGATGAATACCAGCCTTATTAAAATAATTCATCTCGGTTGATGGCAGAAACCTGCTTTCATCAGGGCATGTGGAAGGAAAAAGCTTTACATTACCTGGAAAATCGTGAGAGTGTCTATAGCCAAAAGTTGACATGGCAGTGCAGCCAAGACACTAAGCTTTCCACATGTACATTCTTCCGTCCATAGGTTTGAGTCTTAAGCCAAGCTTGCGGTGCAGTCAAAATAAGACTCGCTAAATGGGATGCCCGGTGGAATGAAGTAAATCGTCAAAATCAAGCTTAAGTATTACTAAATTATAACCTCAAAGATGACTCTTTATACTGGCTGGAATGCCGCCCAGATTTCATCTAGAACACATTACTCGAGTTTTGCAAAGTTAATGAAGCAGGTGGTGCGCTCACTTACAGCATATTCTCAAACATGTATAATTAAAGGGAACAAATAATGCTTGAGACTGTCAGCAGAACTCGTATCAGAAGTGAAGACACACAGGCCTTTTATAGATGGCTAAATGCCATAATTTGAGTTATACTAATTTAAGGAAATTAGCAGTAGTTTATAGTACACCATAAGCTAAACATATCAAATTATGTGGAACAAACAAGACTTAAAATCGCTAATAAATCTCCCATTAGGAGTATTGACATCGCAGGCAACTTAAGGTGACTAAACACCTTCGCTAGAGTCATACTACTTTATGAAGCAGGTAGTGTACTTACTTTCAGCATATGCTCAAACATATTCACTCACAGGGCAAAATAATACTTGAGACTATAGGCATAACCACTATCAGGAGTGAAAACACACAGCCCTTTACAGACGCCTAAATGCTATTACTTGAGTTATATTACTTTACTTAAAATCACTAGTACATCAGAATTAAATACATCACCGACCGTTTACAATGACTAAAGCCAAGCAGATACGAAGAGAAATTTGGTTTCGATAAATCTCCTGAGATAACATTGTTAGGGGGACCTTCATCTGGTGAGAACGACAAACGATTCTCTTCATCATGTACTTTCATTCGAAATGAAGGTCCCCCTAATAAAGCCAAGCACTCAAACTTTACTATTTTACTGGCATTATTATTTGAGAAAATAATCAAGTTCCTCTTTTAAGAGGCACTGCAAAGGGCAGTTCAATGTGTTAAGCTAAAGTGATATCTTCTCATAATCCTGGATTGTCTTCGTGAATTTATTTGTTAATAGCGAACTTGGGATTCATGTTGGTATTGGATTGTTTATATATTTTTCAAAATTTTGTTGCTTATCGCCTGGATTCACAAGGATAGTTTTTGTGATCAATTTAAAGGAGCGATAATTCGTCGGATTCCATTGTCCCACAAGATTTATAGTCGTAGGGATTTGTAAATTTAATTGATTCTTCTGTTTTCTGTTATTTTTACGCATTGGAGACGGAATTACTTAGCTATAAGGCGACTACTCTGCAAGTAGAAAACTAAACTGGTCTATAGCTTGTAACCGAATGGAGGACAGGTTTGATACGACCTTCCATATAAGCTCATGTTGTCAAGGCGACCAGATGCCTGTGAATACTGACTTTTCTGCTCGGTCCTGAAGAGCGTCTGAAAAACCAATACGGGGCTAGAAGCCAATTGTGGAGGCTCATCCCCAACCAGGTTTGAAAAGCCATGCCTTGCCTTCCTTGAAATTCATGTCTTCTCTGTGCCCCAAGGGCACTTTTGGCAATGTGGCCGAGTAGTTAACGTGTCAAGCTCACAAGCACTGTCACGGTTTGACTCCCGTTAGGGGTGTTAATAAGACCGATGCGTCATGTGGAGACAGCGATGCGACCAACGTGTGAAAATGGGATTTGCCGAAGAGAGTGTGAGTTAGATCGACAATGGCAGCTCAAAAGCCGGTCCGACTGACCTGCAGTTCGGCTTCTGTCACGTCAGACCACACGACTCCGTCACGCACTGATCCGGCGATACACAGACAGTCGGACATAGGCAATTGGCTAAACAATCGTGGCGGTCGCCTTCTCATTGGTCGAGATAGCGGTCCGAGAGACGAGTAGCCATCCTTTGATTGGCCCACTCAGGGTCAGGAGACCAGGCTGACGGGCTCGTAGGCACGCAAGCATGCACTACAGCGGATAGAGGACCAATTGCCTAGCCATGAGTGTCGAGTCGAGACCTTCGAGGGCTAGGGACAAAGGTCACGTGACTCTGAGGTGGTACAGTCATCCTGACGGCATGCCGACAGCGCGTGTCAATCCCTACGCCAGAGTGCCTAGAGAAGGTATAAAACGGCCCGACCTGCAGCACACGTGCTTACTTCTCTTCCTGCGGCTTCGGCCTCACGTTCTCCACCGCTCCGCATGTGCCAAATAAGTCAACCCTTTGGCAGCAAGACTGGAATTATTTTTCACCCAAAGTGCCCCCAAAGTTGGCCACCCATTTCTCCTGATGCAATCTAACAACAGGTTAGTCTGTGTTAGTGTATTGTCAATAGCAATTATATTCCATAGATTTGCAATGGTGCTATGTAAATCACTACTCATAATATTTGAACCAGTAAAAAATAAGCTTTGAAGAACAATACTTTGATTAAATTAATTATACTACTTAAAGTAGTGTGTAATCACATCGCATATCAATATTCCTCTCGTATTTACAGGTCGAAGATGAATCGGCCCTGTCGTTTAAAGTTGAATATTCCAAGAAGGGATTCTACTGCTCTTCGAATTTCAGCCCGACTCCGTGAAATTGCCGATGAGCTGGAGGCAGAACTCAATCTTGGCCTTAATGACGTAAGCTTTTTCAACAATTACTATCGCATAACTATGTTTTTGAGTGTAACATTCATTTTCTCCACTAATCCATGCTATGAAATGTAGAGTTATGTAGTTAAATGTGTCCTCACGAACAGTCTGTCCAGCCTGCGGTTGATAGGTCAAAGTTGCTGAGATGAGAAGAGAAAAAAATTAAATCACATAAAATCGACTTCTGACTGAAGACATTCTCGTTGTTGTACCCACAAACCTGCTCACCTCGGGAT